CCATAGTCTAAGGGGCATATATGAAGTTTACCTTATATAATAACATATCTCAATTCAAGTTCAATGAATGAGAGATGCACGGAAAATTGAGGCCATGTTTCGTAATTGACCTTATCTCTATTTTTGTGATTTTATTTTTAATTTTTGTCAAAAATAAAAACAAAAATATTTTGCGTAACTGTTTTTGATTTTATTTTGTTTTCGTTATATTGGAGACAAAGACAAAAAAATAAGAACAAAAAATTTTTGTTCCAAGAAACACGCGAAACAGAAACAGGCGCTAAAAGGGATTAATGAGATCCGGATTTCGAACTCCCTTAGCAACAAAATACTTTTTTTTTTCGTGAACCTATTTAAACCCACCCATCTCTCTCTCCTGTCCATCGCTGCCTCACTCTCTCCATTTTCTCACCTTCACCGACCATATCTCCTCCTCTCTCTCACCGACGGCAGGTAAGCCCCTTCTCTTTCTCTCTGTTTCTCGCTCTCTCATCTAATCTCCTCGCTTTCTCTCTATATATATACACATAGCTCCGTGTATATATATGTATATATACACAGATCTGTGCATATATGCATATATGTGCACAGATCTATGTGTGTGTGTTTTGTGTGCTGGATGTGTGTGTGTGTGTGTTATGTGTGCTGGGTGTGTGTGCGTTGTGTTCTATGGGTGTTGTGTTTGTGATTTAATTGAGATTGAGGTTAGGAAAGTAGCTCATTGCTTTCGATTTGTTGAAGTATTGGATTTTTGCTTGTATATTTATCTTTTGAGTTATTTATTATTCGAACATTCTCTTATTTCAATGTTACATGAACTGTTTAACACGGATTAAATTTATACAAAAAATTGACAATCAATCATTTTCTTATTAATTGTATGTCAAACCATTGCAGGCAAAGATATAATAATCTTCGAACAATTTTGGTAATTGCACAGGTGAAGGCTTCCTGCATATTATTTCATGATACCTTTTTTCTTTTTTTTTTTTTTTTTGTATTTTGGTGATTTAAAAAGCTTCATCAATTGATTTGGTCATAGATGTTTTTTTGTATGTATTCTAATGTTTCATATGTTCATATCATGGAAATTTTTTGAATCATTAGAATATCCCAAGAAAGAAACGATTGGTTGTCAGTGCTCTAATGATTACTGATCAATGCCTAGGAATGTTATTATTGAACACCCCATTATTCCTTGATTGTGCATACCAACAGAAGTTGGGCAAGAATCAACTAACTGAACTTTGTCACCATCAGCTGTGCATTTGTTGAAGTAGCTTCATTAGGTATGTTTCAGTTTCTAGTCAAAGTGACCGGTTGCTATTGTCCAAGTACAACCGTGAAATAGATGTTCTAAAACTGCTTCTTCCTCTCCCCAAGAAGGGCAGAGTTTTGGGTCAGTTTCCTCTTCTACATATTACATTAGGAAGCTATGTTGATCTTCAATTAAACATTTGCAACTAAGGTTGTGCTTTATGTTGCAAACAAAAAGACAGAAGTGTTCATTTTGTGTGGAATGCTGGGGGGAGAGTGTATTAAGTGGAGGGGCTATTTCTGCTATGCTGAGGCTCAACCTTAGCACTTGTTGTAGCCTATCCACTCACAGTATATTCTTGAGGTAGTTTTTGCCCATCTAAGTATTGTCTTGGATGCCTGCAAGCAACCCTAAGTTAAGGCATGCCCACATCCTTGGGTGGTGTTCTTTTTGTAGCTTAGGTTGTCCAATTTCAACCAGGGTGTGGCACAATTTTAGGTGTNGTTTTTGCCCATCTAAGTATTGTCTTGGATGCCTGTAAGCAACCCTAAGTTAAGGCATGCCCACATCCTTGGGTGGTGTTCTTTTTGTAGCTTAGGTTGTCCAATTTCAACCAGGGTGTGGCACAATTTTAGGTGT